TTTTTCAATTTGTCATTCCCTGCATAGTAAACCATGTGGTTATCAGATTCAAAATGACCAATACCAGTCCATTTTAACTCACTAATGCCTAAGATATCTGGTAGGTTATATGAAAGTTGTTATTTAGTGCCATTGAGTCAGTTCCAACTCATAGTGACCCTGTATAGGGTTTCTGAGGAGTGGCTGGTGAATTCAAACCACTGACCTTGCGGTTCAAACCAAGCTTGAGGTCGAGTGCTTATCCTATAACACCATACCAGGACTATATGACAGATGTTGTTATTATCAAGTGCTGTCCTGCTATAGGATTTCCGAGGAGTGGCTGGTGAGCTTGAACCACCCACCTTGCAGTTCAAACCGACTTTGCAGTCCAGCACATTAACCCACAGCACCACACTAGGACTCCTATAGGACAATAGGCAGAGATGTTGAATCAGAAGCTACATACCTAAGTCAAACCACAGTATTTTCAATCTCCTTATATACATGTGAAAGTTGGACAATGACTAAGGAGGACCATAGTAGACTTGATTTACTTGAGCTGTTGTGTTGGGGAAGAGTATTGAAAGTACCATGGACTGCCAGAAGAACCAACAAATCTGTGTTGGAAGAAATACAGCCAGAGTGCTCCACAGAAGGTAGGATGGTGAGACTCTGTGTCTCATACTTTGGGCATGTTATTAGGAGGGACCAGTCCCCGGAGAAGGACATCAAGCTCAGTAAATGGAGGGTCAGTGAAAAAGAAGAAAACTCCTAATGAGATGGATGGACACAGTGGCAGCAGCAATGGGCTCCAATGTAGCAACAGCTGAGCACGGCTCAGGACTGGGCAGTGTTTTGTTCTGCTGGAACTCAGATTAGCTATTGTGATATGAGTTGAGTGCTCCAAAACGTAAAAAGCCTTTTCTGATGAAGTGGGTGTTGTTAATAAGGAGATGCCATAATGCAACTAACTTTTAAGAAACTATCATTTGTCAAGTTTTAGTGTAGTACCAAAGAAAATCCACAATTATCTGAAAATACTATTATATATTCTTTCTTTTACTAACTAATATTTCTGTGAGGTCAAATTTTTTTTCATATGCTTCAGATAAAACAATATTATTATAAAAAATCATATGTACATATTAAAGAGATTTTTAAA